TCTCTTTTCAGTGGCCGTAAGTGATGTGTGTGTGTGTGTGTGTGTGTGTGTGTGTGTGTGTGTGTGTGTGTGTGTGTGTGTGTGTTGGGTGTAGGTCTGCTGATGTTGCACTTCCTCAGGTGAAGTACACTGAATGACTGATTGCATACAAACAGCTGATTGTCGCACACTGTGGCTTTGGTCTTTTTTTTCCTCACTTGGTACAATTGATATCTGGTCTTGCAATGGATACTGTTCATGGATCCTGTGACACACACACACACACACACACACGCACACACACGCACACACACGCACACACACGCACGCACACGCACACACGCAAACACACGCAAACTCACCCAGGCTGTGATCCTTATACGAGGGGGTGGAAAAGTAGGTACAGTGAACCCCCGTTTATCAACGGGAATACGCTCCAGACTCACGCCGCGATAGGGAAAAATCTGCGATAGAGAGAACATGTAAATATTTTTTTTTCCCAATACCATAGATTGACCCCTCCTGCACACTTGAAGTTCCCATACTATATATATATATTTTTTTTTTTTTTTTCGATAGCCGCATCGATGCTCACTGTTTCCGAAGTTTTTCTGCCACTTTCTGAGAGCTAGGAAAATGAGTTTGCTCTTTGTCACTGCAGGATGCCAAGGAATTCTCAATTCCCTTCAACCGGGCGGGGAAAGGATAACGAGTCGCGACTGGAAGCGACGCTGGATCAAAATGTGATGTACAGTATGTATTTAAAAAAAGAAGAATCATAATTTTGAAAAAGCAAGCAAGAGTCGGACACTACTTTGCACTCTACGTTTTTGTCGTCCGTTTTGCGCCGCAAAATGGAATCTCCGACAGAACATTTGGACCATTTTTATGCTCTGCCGGGATACATGTTGGTCGTCTACAGCTGTAGGATTGTTTGTTTGTTTTTTCCCCTCCGCTGTTTTTTGCTCAACTAGCCAAATGTCGCTATTTAATGATGCATATTTTCATGTGTTTTTGTGTGCGTGCACACTTTGTTTACATTTTCTGTGGCTCTGATAATACGTGCGTGCCAAAAAATCACCAAATTCACCACTTGATGGGATTCATTGTTGTTGCAGATGGGGTTTTTTTTCCCCTTCACGTTTTTTTTTGGGGGGGGGGAAAGGGGGGGATAGCCAACATTGCTAATCTAAAAAAATCCAAAAATCTGATATTTTTGGACGTGTTTATTTTCATTTTGTGCGTTCATTACTCCCCCTGAGATTTCGACCAGTACCCCAAATTAGATCTCATCCCTGTTCGTGATTTTTTTTTTCTTCTTTTGTTTTTAGAAGATGTTTGGCAGGATATTTGGTGGTCGTCTACAAGCGTACGGAGCATTTTTTTTCCAAAATGGACATTTTTCATTGCAGTGTTTCTATCATGAAAAGTTATAATCATAAAACATCCACCACTATAGTGTAAGTTTAAAATACTAAAATATGCTGAATTGAATTTTTGTCATTCTATTTTTAATTGCACATTTTGTAAATATTGTTCAGATTGAAAAATATACTGCACATTTAAATAAATGTAATGTTTTGTTTTGTTTTTTTTAATCTGAATGAAAGTGTCTGCTTGTCGGCGACCACTGTGAAACCTGACCGACGCCTTCTGGATTTGTTAAGCCTTACGGGTCCACATTTTTGTCCTCATTTACTTTGTACAAAAATACATACCATATTTTTTCAGACTCTCTGAACACACGCACAGTCTTGAGTTGGTGTCACGGCGTCAAGAGTGAATTTCCAAACGCACCTCGTGTTGATGTCAGCAAACAAGTTCCGGTAGGATGTAATTTCCACTTCATACTATGGAAAAGTTTTTCTTTGAGTTGAACCCTTTTGGGGTACCAGCAGTCACTACAGTGGACAGCTCATCATGTTATCAGGTGACAGGGTGCATGAAAGGGTTAAAATGGCTTTCCCATGTCGCACCTGCGTATCAGTCGCCGGGTCAACCAAACTATGAAAAGTCCCAAAAAATTGCGGTAACCATGCAGGGTCCTTTTATTTCTTTACATTTTGTGCATTTGTTTAATAATTAAAAAAATACATATACTTTAGCTCTCGACATGAAACTGTGAATCACCAAGCTCATGACTCTTAATGCTTATTTTTGTGAAAAGAAAAAAAAAAACAAAGAAAAAAATGGCAGTATGTCATGACCATACAGGACAGTACACTTGTGATTTGAACGCCACAGATTGAAAATGGCTGCGCAAATCGAATCCCAAATGCCAAGATGGGGAAAAAAAAGAATGAAAAAAGAAAAATGATTTGTGGTACATTTGATTTCAACTGTGAACGGAGTACGGTATGTCCTCAGAAGAAATTGTTCTTCTTTGAGATGAAAAACCACAAATCCAGACAGACAAAAAAAAAAAAAAGGAGCCGTGTTGGCGATTCGTGTGCCCTGGCCCTTTAAATCACACAGGCACCATCACAAACTCAAAAATCAAGAATAAAAAAAAAATTGCTTTTAGCAATCATTTCTTACTTTCGTTCAGTTTTTCATCCGCTGCATGTGGTGGTGGTGGTGGCGGTGGTTACCATGGCAACAGCAACGGGATGACAAGAGCGCTTCAATGACTGGTTTGTTGTGAGCAGACAACCGTTGTATAAAAAAAAAAAAAATGTACATTTTTTTTGTACAAATATTTTTATCAAAGGCATGTTTACCGTACTTTGTATTTTCAGTTTACCTACAAAAAAGGGAGAGAAAAGAAATATCGTGCACTATATATATATATATATATATATATATATATATATATATGAAAGGTGTTCTAAGGGAAAAGGAAAGTTCATCGCTATTTATTGTATATATCAAGATTTGTGTTCCTATGAAGTCAATAAAGTTTGTGTCACATTTAATTTCAATATGCCTTTCTTATTTACACAGTCCAACCATCTTCAAATGCTATTTTTCACTTTTGTCTTTTGAATTGCAAAATGCTGTCAAATTGTCGCATTGGTTTTGACCAGGTTGCCCTCAACATGTGTGGAATTCACTAGTTTTCACAAACATGCGTTAATACTTTAGTGCCCCTTGGAAAGTTAAAAAAAAAAAGGTATCAAGGACCCATGCCTGAAATTGAACAGGAAGTCAGCCATTTTGGTTTGTAGTAGTCATTTGGGGTCGAATTAAAGTACTCGCTCCCAAATCTCACTTGACTTTTCCAGAAGAGGGAAATGTAATAAACGGGCAGGGCAGTCCCAAGGTCCGCCAGGCTATCGGTCTCCTTTGTCTATTAAAGCGGAGGCACCCTTGCATGAACAAAATGGCTGACCGGGCTCACACCACCTCATATCTCAGTAGCGTGGCCGGGCAGCAGGGCTGAACCAATCTGCCGGATGGGGGCGATGGGATCAATACTTGTGAAAATACACAGCAGAGTTGAAGGCGATTGCTCCTTTCCTATAAGACTTTTCATGAAAAGTAAAAAAAAAAAAAAATCACTCTGAACTCAAATCAATTCGTGCTCACCTGAAGATGTAATTTATGGATTTTTGAAAGCAGCCGAGTTGCAAAACCTGTGCTGAATCCCAATAAGAATCTCATCATCGAGCATTTACATGATGGCAGTAACAAAGCATCTCACGACAGCAAATAGACTGCTATTTGATTTGAAAGCATTCCCACACTTTTGTTTTAAAATAGCATTGATATGAATAGTTATCACTTACGACAGAGAGACAAAAAAAAATGTAAAAGACAGAGAATGTCCAGTTTGGTGTGATTTCATACAGCAAGAACCAGTACTCTCTCACAACGAATGAATGGCGCGCACTTCTCTATGTATGTTAACCGGGCCCGCAGCACCACCTGGCGGACAGTGATAGTAATGCAAAAGTAAAACAAATTCGAAATGTTGAATTATATGTGGAGTTCAAATACTGTTGTAGCCGTTTTACCTTTTAATTTAATTTCAACTGTTCCAAAAGCTTTTTTTTATGACAAACACGCCGCAGTATTGTTGCTTCATGTTCAAGTTTTTGCAGCACCGACAGTGTAAAATGTGCACCCTCAAAATCTTGACTTAATTGCATTCAAAATGTTTTGCTTGTTTGTGACATTTAAAAACCAATCTTAAAAGCAGAAGGAAAGGAAATAGCTGGTAATCCAAGTTTTGCAGTCCAGAATTGAGTCTTTATTGTATGTTATCATTTAAAAACCAAAAAACGATTTAGCAATTTCAAAATATTTTCAAACCACATGAGACAAAAAAAATTTGTACCAAAATTTCAGTATCAATTAAACTGTGTTTGTATATTATGCCCCCCCCCACCCCCAACAATGTATATATGTTCACGTTTTCACGTGATTAAAAGCAGTTCGGATTTATGTACAGACAAACGACAGGTGAAAAAAAAAATTAATCACATGCAAACGAAAACTGAAACCATCAAAGCTGAGAGAAGAGCTGGGCAGCGCTGTCGACATTCACCGGCTCCTTTGGCGGCTCTTTGACGAGCTAAAGAGACAAAAAAAAAAAAAAAGTATTTCTGAATATGAAGTGGATGATTCGTGAAATGTGTGTTCGACTTCACCTGCTGTGCTGGTTTCTTTGCTTCTGCAGCGACCGGTTTGGAAACGCTGACATCCCGATGAACTTGCGAGAACATCTGGTTGAGGTTCTCCACCTTCTCATTCTTCACAGCGTTGATCTGAGATGACGAGAATACATTTTATTTCCTGATTTTTAAAACGAGGTTGCGACCGAGGCGGGATCTTACATGTTTGAGTGTCGTCCGGATGGGTTTGGCTTTGTTTTTGGCCTTCAAGTGCTTGTTCGCTGCCACTTGGAAGACATTTGTCTGTTTTTTGCCTTTCTGTTTGTTTTTACCCATTTTACCTGCTATCACAAAATCGTTGTCATTGTCACAATAGGAATTCCAAACAAAATGACAAAAATGACAGCTGATTGTGTGATGTATTGGCTGATGCAGAATATTTTGCCTTGTAATTCATATAATAGCTATTATACGATAGCTGTCAATTGGTTTTCTTATACTGTTGCCAAGAGTATGACTGATGCGCTTCCAGGAAAACACACGAGACAAATGATACGACTACATACTGAAAGTACACGTAAGTGCATTTTAATACATGTTTTATCGAGCGAGTTTGGTGTGTCGTTAAACGAAAGTAGTGCAATAATCCATTTAAGTGTGCCTTTTGGACGAATGAACTCCCCAAATTCTTACGTACCGTGCGTTTGTCGACACGTTGTTCTGTTTATATTCCCCAGCGAGCAGCGTCCGTTCTTGATGACATCATCAATATGAGACGTCGACGGCGAGGTACTCCGGTTCGTTTTAAGTGGATAAAAAATAATGTTGTCATCTGGCTTTCCTTTCCATTATCTATCACACACAATGAGTTAGATATTAAGTTCGTGTGTTATTGCTTTTAAATACACAGATTACACGGACATTTGTATGTTCTTGCGCCTTAATGCCTAGAAAACGTGTTTTTTTATGTCGGCCGCTTTAATTTGTGTAAAGTTGCAATAGTATCGTGTGCAGGAAGTTGAAACTACGGTTTTTCGTTTTGGGTGCGTGGCCTTCACAATGAAAGGTAAGGTTTGTCGTAAACGTTTGTGCTGCGCGGCTTTAAATTATTTTTACCGCGATATTTTAAAACTCTTTTTTTTTTGTTTGTTTTTGTTACATGGCAAGTCATTCAGAACTTTTCAGCTCAGTTTCATAGTTCTTCCGAAACTGGCAGCGACGTTCCTCCAAGCCTGTACTTTCATCATATGCCTGCAGGTGGCGCCGCTGCACAGCAGAAACGCCTTCCGATCGGTTGCTTGGGCTGTACATTGCTTTGCAAACCTATACAATCTATCCGCCATGCTTCAGTCTGGATTGAAGGTCATAATTTCGGGGCGTTTGAGCACTTGGACTTGGACTTGACTTGACCTCCACCCGGTCCGGTTCTGAATTGACACTTTGACTGCTTCAATTCTTTTCATTTTCACTGTTTATTTTATGATCGCTGCGGCTCTTTTAACGTATACGTTGGATGCAGACGAGACGTTATAAAGAGGACGATGAGATAAAAGACACTTAAAAATGTCTTTCTGAATGGAGCGGACGGGGACATGTGGGTACCTCCTACGTTCGTGGCCACGGAACGAGCCACGCGTCGGATTCGGCTCGGGTAGCACCGTTGGATTGGATTTGGTGCACGAGAGGGGGTGGGTGGGGTAGAGGGAGAAAGAGAGAGAGAGAAGATTGCTGCAGCACACTTGGAAGCCCGTGCATGAGGAGGAGGAGGGGGAAGAGTAAGGGGGCGTGGGGGGGATCCGCGTGTATTTATATATAAGGCGCCGCGCAGCTGTCAGGTGTCGGGGGGCACCAGCGCTCTATTTGCAGGATTATCTAAGAGAAAACCCGCATCCACTCAAAAGTGTCATGGCTCACGCTTGGGGTTACGCCGCCAATAACGGTGAGCTCGCACTTTCATCCTAATGCGCCTCAATTCGCCCTTCCACCGGCCTCATCTGCGCGCACAGCTCCGCATCTGTGCACGGAGAGCGCGCAAAATTGCACGCATTTGCTTTCAACGCCTGTGAGCGGATTCATGTTTTTGCGTGTGTGTGTGTGTGTGTGTGTGTGTGTTTGTGTGTCCCCCCCCAGGTCCGGACAAGTGGGCCGCCAATTTCCCCATCGCCGACGGTCCGCGCCAGTCGCCCATCGACATCAATCCCGGCCTGGCATCGTACGACGGCGCGCTCAAGCCGCTCAGCCTCAAGTACGACCCGACCACCTGCTTGGACATCCTCAACAACGGACACTCCTTCCAGGTGACCTTCCTCGATGACACGGACAGCTCTGGTGAGGACAACGCACTATTTTTAATTCTCACGTTTTATTACGACATCGCCCGCGGGTGATTTATTTTTTATTTTTAAATCACTAGACGTGATCCTGAATTTATCGCTGCAGACAGGAGATTTCATTTAAGATTCATTTTGTCTTTTTTTTTTTTTTTACATGCAGATAAAATGTACTCTATGGCTTCATTGTATTTTGTCACCCTATATGAGTACAATAAGAGCTCATTCTTCCTGCTGGAGGGTTGAATAGACTGCAGTGGAGGGGGCTTCATTTTAGCCCACCACCCCCCCTAGCTTGCATGTGGACAGTAACTGAATTGTTAATGTCACCTCAAGTAAACCTTCCCCACCACGAACGCGCTAACAAGGTGAAAACGCACCAAAAAAATATATATATATTCGTAGGAACGTTGTCGATGAATTTATTGTGATGATTATATAACATTTGTCCTTATCTTTTTTTGGAAAAGAAAAATACAAATTCTGGTGATAAACTAATCAACATTTCAATTGTAATTGAACCTGTATGCAAGAATAAATCAGCATCATTTTTGTAAAATGATTATTTTTAATCTCTTTAAAATAGATGTTGTATATAAAAAATAAAAAGAATATTATTTTCCGCGTGGCTCGAGTATTGCTTTTGTAGAGATACAAATAGATCATTTGTCCGTATTTTTAAACCACTGCTTATCCAGATTACATGTGTGCTTGCCAATTGAGATTAGGGTTACGTAATCTATTCCGGCCAGCCGCTTTGGTGCAAATACACAAGAGAATACAAACTCAAAAGTGCGTCCCGTGTTTCACTGTGACTGTTTCCACCTGCGTGTTGGGTTTGTGACGTTTAGTCATGCATCCTGTGTTCCAAATATGAAGATGACACATCCCGACAGAAGCGCTGCCATGATTACGCACATTTTCCTGCTCCCAAAAAAACATTTTTTAAAATCATATCCGCCCTGCATTTTTTTTATGGTACCCCTTTCCAAAGTTCTCAGTCATTTCACATTTTTCTAACTTCAAAATAATCACAAAATTCAGCACATGCAAGGGAGATTTGGGGAATGCTAGCCCATGAGCTAACATGCCCTGCTCCTGCTACGAGCCGCGATGGAGCTAGCTAAACACACGCGTCGCTGCCCCTCCAAGTCTTGTTGAACCCTCACCTCCGTCGCAGCGAATCAGAGAAACTTTTGACAGGTTTTGCTGTCACTCAAGGAGAACCAGTAGAGCTTGCGATTAAAGCAAGCAAAGCAGAAGACAGTGAAGCAGTGAAGCTAACCGCTAATCCGTTGCGAAATGTAGAGCCGCATAACAGCGGAAAATGTTTAGGTGGTGCACTTTTATTAGAAGGAGAAGCAGGGAGAGCAAAAAAAAAAAAAATGTCAACTCCACGTTGTGTTGTGTCCACAACAGTCCATCCGTCTCTTTGTCTCCCCACGAGCAGTTCTGACCGGCGGTCCCATCTCCGGGGTGTATCGGCTCAAGCAGTTCCACTTCCACTGGGGGGCTTCCGACGACAGGGGCTCGGAGCACACGGTGGCCGGGAACAAGTATCCCGCCGAGGTAACGCTGACCCTTCTCTATTATGGTGCACCTGTAGAATTGGATGTGGTGGCGCCCGGAATGGCTGCGAAGCCTCCCCTGTCGAGGTGGACTGTAACATTCTTTCTCGATACTCCACATGTGCGAGTTTGGGTGTCTTGTATTCATTTATGCCAGTGAACTGAGTTAACCCCCCCCCCAATCCATACTGTGCTCCCCCTGAGCTCAGTCTGGGTTTGTTTTTTTTCCCCTCCCCTTTCCTTATGTTTTAAAATACTTTTGGTGTGAGCTGTTAAATCCATGGGCTTGTTTTCTCAGCTCCATCTGGTGCACTGGAACACCAAATACGCCGACTTCGGCGAGGCGGCGGGCAAACCTGACGGACTTGCCGTGGTGGGAGTTTTCTTGCAGGTTCGTATGAGGAGCGGGGGGGGGGCACCCCACAATTCACCTTCTGAAATTGGGTCGCTAACAATGACTCGTCATTTTTTCCCTCTTAGATTGGTAATGACAATGCCAGTCTCCAGAAGGTTCTGGATGCCTTTGGTGCTATCAAGAACAAAGTACGTTTCCATGGCAACTTGGTTTTCAAAACTCGAGTTTGCATCAAGTGATGCTAAATGCTAAGAGCTTTTTTTTTTTTTTTCCTGCTCAGGGCAAGCAGACGACGTTCAAGGGCTTCGACCCGAGCAGCTTGCTGCCCGCCTGCCTGGACTATTGGACGTACGACGGCTCCTTGACCACCCCCCCTCTGCTGGAGAGCGTCACCTGGATCGTGTGCAAGGATCCCATCAGCGTCAGCTCGACTCAGGTAGCGTCAGCCATACAAACGCCTCTTTGTTGGGTTAGCATCGCGAAGAAGCATTGTTCATCCAAACCATATTATTTTGTCTAAAAGTCTGCTAGCTGAATGCTAACATACAATGTGATGCCCCACAGACGGGCTAATGGAAATTAGCATAGATGTTAAGGTACCTTCAAACCACTGCAACAATACAGACTTATGTTCCCTCTGCTCTCTGGGAACAATGACTATTACCTAGTAGGGGGCCTTCTCTGCCTCCGAATGTTGCGCTCTATGATGGTGCACGCCGACCTTGCTTAGTGGCACAAAGTGGTACTACGCTAAAAACAAAACAATCAATTCCAAAATGCCTCCCACCACTTATGCGCAACAAAAAGTCGAATCGTACCAGACATATTCTCCGCACTGGGAAAGTGATGATCATCGTCGACGCGGCAGTGGCTTCGCTTGACGGCAGCACGAGGCAGACACCAACGCGGCGTCTCTTCTCTCCGCAGATGGGCAAATTCCGCAGTCTGCTGTTCTCAGCCGAGGGTGAGCCCGAGTGCTGCATGGTGGACAACTACCGCCCCCCGCAGCCACTCAAAGGCCGCCAAGTGCGCGCGTTCTTCAAGTGAACGCCCGCCGCTAGCTTCCTGTCCCTTGCAAGTATAACGGTGCCATCGGATTTGGAAGTCGGAAACGGGGCTAGCTTAGCCTTCCGTTCTTTGCGTCACGCGAGGTTCTTTTTTTTTCTTTTTTTGGGGGTGGGGGGAATATGTCAATTGATTTTGATGCGAAAAAAAATCTGTTGGAAATTCAAACTCCATTTTGAAAAGAGACATTGAATTTTTGACAGATTTTTTTTTTTCCGTCCATGTTGAAGTGTTTGACACTGAATGAACGAGAAAAAAAAAGATCACTGTTCCAAATTCAAATCCAAGGTCTGATGGCACAGATATACTTCCAAGCCCGCTTCCCTTCCCCCACCCCGCCACGGTTGCCCTTTCTCCTACCTCCTTTTAGCCGCGGAATGGCAGTGCACTCCAAAGCTCATCACGTGTCTCCCGTCCTTCCAATATTCCTTTATGGAATTATTCCTGCCCCGTGGAGCACTTGGCAGGCGTCACTTTTGTCAACGTGTACCGAACCGGCCAGCGAAAGAAGCCATCTGCCATCATTTGTGCCATTTACGATGCAAATCCACCCCTATCTGGCTTCTGGATGAGCCGCCGTAACGACTGCGCCAGAACACCAGGACGGCTGAACACGAGCCACGAACCCTTTTGATGTGCCGTCCTCCTCGTGTGTGTGCGTTTTTAAAATGTATGCAAACCAAGTACTACTCTGCGTATCCTCCTCTGGAAAAAAATCGGAATGAAATGTTCTGTGTCAAAAGAGAATGTGCAATTGAGATGATTAAAAAAAAAAAAATGCCAAGACGACGACAAGAAGCTGCCAGGAGATGAGACGTTCAGGCCGACACAGTTGCACTGAATTCATTCAAATGAACTATTTTCGAAGCTCATCTTTGTCTCTGTATTTCTGAACCAATGTACTCAAGACAGATTGTAATTCATTTTTTTAAAAGGACAAATTAGATGCCTTATTGTTATTTTAAAATCATGCCAGTGGTTGTCGATCCCCGTCCAGAAGTTGGATGTCTTCTTGTTATTCCAAAGATAGAAAGTGGACCTTTGACCATTTGAATAAATCTATTCTAAAAATGTGATCTCTGCTGAGTGGTTTGTAACATTAAATCGAAGATATAGGATTGATCACATATTTATTTGATGACATAAGCCAAGGAGGTCGTTGGGACTTCGTATGAAGGCTAATGTTAGCCTGTTTACAAGCTAGCAGGTGCAACTCACCACTTGTGTAATTTGTGAAAAAGCTTGACATCTCCAAACAGAGGCCGAACATCGGATAAAAAGAGCTAATGAAGGATTTCTGTATTAATGCCAAAGAAACGTTTTTTTTTAATAAGATGCTGAAAGCTTTTTTTTTTAAAAAGGATGAACGCTATTCTAACCTCGCTACAAGCGCAACAAGCGAGCTAGTTTTTGTCTTCATATTCTTGAAAACATTTGACAGCTCGCTATTCAAGCTAAACTAACCTCTCTCCGAGCATTATAAAGAGCCAATGAACACATTTTGTCATGCGTATTAAGGCTAAGTTACTGGAGAGTTAGTTATTGGTAAAACTTTATTTTTGTGTAATCCTTGAAAAAGCTTGGCAATTTAACATTAGAACTAAGCTAACATCTCTCCAAGTCAAGAACAGTCTATTAACTCTAATTCATGTGTTTTACTTGTAAACAGTTATTTAAAAACCATAGCAACCTAGCATAAAAGCTAACCTAGCCTTCTGCAAGCACAAGGTTTACACTTTCTCTTCATATAATTATTTAAAAAGTTAGAAATTTTAGCATTAATGCTTGGATAACATCTCTCTTAGCCTATTCCTTTTTTAAAAAAAAATTTTAACCATTGAATAGCTTAAGAATGTAGCGTAAAAGCTAACATTGCTGAAGCTAATAATGCTAATGCTTTGTGGAGTGTAGTTGAAAATGTGACCGTTTGGGTACCCTGGGGACACCAAAAGCTTGTATTATTAGGGGCGTGGGGGTTGTTTTTTGTTTATTGAACATATAAACATGTACAGTAAGAAAATTGACAGAAAGAAATATTGTAAAAAAGGAATATGCTTTCATTCGGAGCTGGAACAACCTATGACCTTGTTGATCAACTCCTGTAAGGAGACTCGTGAGACATGACATTTCTAGCCTGGCTGGCGTTTTCGCAGTCTGCTGTGACTATTGGGTGTGAGATGTCCACCTAAGAGTCGCTGATTAAGAATATTTTTTGTGAATGCAGCTGAAAAATGCAAGCAGACGCTTAGCTAAGCGCGAGGCTGGTGAGAATATTTGATCAGGAAACAAGTGTTCTTTGCAAAATAAATAAATAAATAAATTTTACAGTTTCAATTGGAATTTTTTTTTTTTTTTAATCAATTTACTTTGGAGGGGCTGAATCAATTCAGGAGCTCGTTTCGGCGACAGACTTGCTGTCGCCGTGACACCGCGTTTCATGAACGTGCGCGTGTTTTTGTTTTTAATCTGTTGTGACAGCTGGATGACCTTGCTGGGGCCTGTCATGTGACACACACACATACACACACACACACACACACGTGCCCGCTTTATTTTTCTTTTCTATTTCACCTCACCAACTAATGCAAAGGCCTTTTTTTTTTTTTTTTCATTTCAAGATGAAATCAATGTCCGATGGCCTGACGCGCATGAACTAGAACTGTTGGCATAGATTTTATTCATTATTCTGTCACACACACACACACACACACACACACACACACACACACACACAGACCCTGTGGGCTTTCCCCCCGTCCTGTTGCATAATCTGACATGTCAGTGGTGTGACACATGAAGTGGACAGTAGCCTTGCATGCCCACATGGAGCATTTGTGTGCGTGTGTGTGTGTGTGTGTGTGCGTGGATGATTGTGAAATGAGATGTTGCACTTGTGTGTGATTATCAGTGGAAAAAGCCCACTAGAGGGAGAGCATAAATAATATTTCCTTTTGTGTTTTACTCACATACACTAAGTATATACAATATGCATTCTCCTGTTGCTGTTTTGTTTGTTTTTTTTTTTTTTTTGTATTTGAATTTTGTACGGTCGTGAAAGGACAATTGTCATCGCGGCACAAAGCGTATTCTCACACGCGGATGCTATCTCGGCATGTTTTCAGTCGCAGCGTTGAGATAACGTAAAGGGGCGCATGTTTGATTCAGTATCTCCTCGTTGTCGACGCGCGTGTGTGTCCAATCTCCGCGGCGTCATCGGGCGAAAGGGCACCACGTCGCCACGCAGAAAGGTCTCAAGACTGCAAGCGAGTAGTATGTTCATTTCCTACCATCACCTGCTGTCTGACTATTTTGTATCACCGACCGCCATGCATGTCCTATTGACTCCTGTTGACGTGATCAGAGCAGGCTCATAAGTGGGTTGATTAGCGTCGCTTTTCTGTAAACCTCCCTAAGGGAAAAGGTCCACGTTGCCATGCACGTTTGCAACAAGGGGGCCCGGTGTGTGATTTGTTTTTCATCTGGAGGAAAGCGTGAGCGGAATTTCGTTTCGGCTCATTTTGTCCTCCAAATGTGTACGCTAATATGTTAGCATGTTAGCCTGATAATCAAGGCAGGTCAAAGGTTCTGAACATGAAAGCTTTCTTTCAGCAGCTCTACCCAAATGCTAGCATTGTTAGCATCCCTTTCTTTTCTTTCTTTTTTTTTTTTTTTGTGCAACCATTAAAAGAGGACGAACAATCCCACTCATTGACCGACACTTGATTAGCCGCGAGTCAGTGCGTCCGAGAGTGGGTCAGATTTGTGTCCTGGGCTCCGTCGGTTGCTAAGCAGGACAGATTGCGTTACTCACGGGAGTAGAGTTTCCTGTTCACACACACACACACTCACCCGTGCGCGCACACACAAGGTCACTACTCTCACATTACCACGTGGAAACAGTGCGGTGGCATTGACCACACGTTTTTCAAAAATATTGGGACGCCTGCAGGATGGCAAAACCGTATTCTGTCAAGTAGGAGGTGAAAATAACGCGGACAAAAGTATAAGGGCGTTGAATAAATCTTTTACCCAATGTGCTCTGTTCACAAAAGGATGAAGACACTAACAGAAAGTGCGGGAAAAATCTGTGGAGTATTTTGAATCATTTTACACAAAGCCACAAAATTTCAAGGTGTGTTCGTGTTCACGATCATGCTTTTATATTGTAATGCGACCATTTGGCCCACTTGCGGCATATGTCTTAAAAGTATTGGGACATCTACGCAAAGTGAAATAAATATAGCGGCTTTAGTGATACTTTTGTTGTGGAAAGCTATCGGCTACCCACCTGCGTGAGTTGAACACGCATATAAGGACACCAACAGGAAGCTAAAAAAATGAAATAAAAAATCTGAAAAATCTGCAGTTATGCTTTTATTTTGAAGTAATTATTCTCAGCCCACTTGACCTCCCATGAAAACTATTCAGAAACCTAAAGAGACTGAAATAAAATTATTGAGCGCCAACAGTGATGCTTTTATTTTTGCGGGAGGTGGACAAAGGTATTGGGTCACCCAGGGGAAGTTAAAATACACATGACAGACTCATTCTTCGACTATCTGCCATCTCTGTTGTCAGCGTTCAGCATCTCGTGCCCGTGGGGGACGGATGGGGGAAGTGGGGGGGGGGGTGACACAAATTTTATCCCATCATCAGTCACATCCTATTTTGGCTTCTTTTACCAATCGCAGCCGCCATCTTGTCTTGAGAGTGACGTGTGTGCAAACGAGGAATTTCCTGCCCACTCCATCAGGGCGCTGTCCCAAGCGCTTGTCCGAAGGGGGAATTTGTGCCGCTCGTTCCTTCCCGCGGTCTCTCGTTATATAAGCGGCGTGCCTGGCAATTTGGGGAATGTTCTGAATAACCTGAACAGTTTGAAATTGGAAGAGTTGGGGGGAATTTTATTTGGGGGGGAATATGAGGGATTTTTTTTTTTATGTGATAAATAGTCCAAGATTTGTTCATGTTCAATTTTTTATTATTTTTTTTAATGAAAAGAGTTATTCTATTTTGCCTGTATTATTTTTGCGTGCATTTTTATTCCCGTTGACAAAAAAAAAAAAAAATCATCCCAACATCCACATTGCCTCGTCTTTTGGGAGCATCAGCTCAGCCTCAACTCTGATGATTTTTTTTTTGGGGTTGGGGAGGGCGAGGGGGCATCTTACATAAGGCGTTACATCACCAGCATCGGCACCAACATCTTGTCGCAGCATCGTGTGCCGCCATCTTGCAGCCTCCTCGCTCCCCTCGTGTGATTTTTATTTATTTATTTATTTATTGTGCAATGATGACACGCGACTGTTCTAAAACATTTTCACCACCGCGTCGCACGTCGGGCTACCGAAAGACCTGGCGCGCTCCCCCGGTGCCGCATCTTGTAACCAAATCTTTCATTTGGGAAATAGCAGTTGAACCGGTTGAATCTGAGGTTGAGGGTCAAAGTAAACATCAAACTAAAAGAATGACACATGATCGGTTTGAAACAATCGAGCTTTGTCTGAAGCTTTTTTTTTTTTTTTTTTTTGCAAATGGCGCCATAAGCAATAAAAGCGCGCACGACGTGTCAATCAGGCCATTGATCAGTGATTTGCAAGCCAGAGCGGATGTTCTCATTTATCATAAAGCGATCATTCGCGGACGGCATCAGGTGCTCTGACGTTTAAAACCTCATCAGGAGGAAGTCAAGTCAACCGCAGCGACTTTCTCGCTTAATAAATCATCTTTCTGACACACACCCGCCCTGATTTCCTCATCGGCCTCGCCCAATTGTGTCAAAATTTATGTTTCCACATCAATCGTGTTGACTCTGTGGCTCAGGGGGGGTCATAGTTTAGCATCATTGTCCATTTTTTTAGTTCATATTTGACTTTGGTTGTTCAAATACAGTTCATTTGAATCCGTTTTTAAAGTGGGTTTGCATTGACTAGCCAAAACAAGAGGAAACATTTTTTTCCACCTTCCGCGGGTGGCCCAAAAATTTTGCATACATTTCAGGCGGTGGTTAATCGTTGACCGGTTGGCGTCTCGGGCAAAGGGTTAATTTTTAAACGTGGTGATAACAGGGGTGGGAAAA